TAACCCCTAAGCGGGCCCCCCCCCCCCCAAACCTTCCCCCTTCCCCCTTCCCCCTTCCCCCTTGCCTGCTGCTGGCGGGAACACAACAACAACAACTCACAGGATGGAGGTGCGGGTGACGGGGAGGGATAGGGGAGAAGAACGACCGGCTCAAGGCGTCGATTCGTACAAAGGTGGAGGAGTACATGGCGCGGGCGGAGAAGCTCAAGGCATTTCTGGACGGGCAGGAGAAGGACGCGCCCTCGGGTGGGGTTGCAGTCAAAAAGCGCAAGCCGAAGAAGGGCGGGAGCGGCGGTGGTGGCGGCGACGGTGGCGGCGGCGATGATGACGACGACAGCGATCCGGAGCAGGCACGGCTCCGTGGAGCGCTGGCGTCTGCGATTCTGACAGAAAAGCCCAACGTCAAGTGGGACGACGTGGCCGGGCTTGAGAACGCTAAGGAGGCGCTGAAGGAGGCAGTCATTCTGCCGATGAAGTTCCCGCAGCTGTTCCAGGGCAAGCGTAAGCCGTGGAAGGGCATTCTGCTGTACGGGCCGCCCGGGACGGGCAAGTCGTACCTGGCCAAGGCGCTGGCCAACGAGGCTGACTGCACATTCTTCTCGGTCTCGTCTTCGGACCTTGTCTCCAAGTGGATGGGCGAGTCTGAGCGGCTGGTGCGGCAGCTGTTCGAGATGGCGCGCGACGCTGGGCGGGCCATTATCTTTATCGATGAGGTCGACTCGCTCTGCGGTTCGCGGTCGGACAACGAGAGCGAGTCGTCGCGGCGGATCAAGACCGAGTTCCTTGTGCAGATGAACGGAGTGGGCAAGGATGACGACGGCATCCTAGTTGCTGCGGCGACCAACACGCCGATGCAGATTGACTCGGCCATGCGCCGGCGTTTCGAGAAGCGCATTTACATCCCGCTGCCCGAGCTCGAGGCGCGCATCCGCATGTTCGAAATCCACATCGGCAACGACCCGCTCGTCAAGCTCACCCCGCAGGACTACAGACGGCTCGGCGAGCTCACCGAAGGCTACTCGGGTGCCGACATTGGCATTGTCACCCGCGACGCGCTCATGCAGCCCATCCGCAAGGTCCAGACCGCAAAGTTCTTCAAGGAGCTGCCCAACGGCAAGGTCACTCCGTGCAGGCCCAACGACCCTGCTGGCTCGCCCATGACCTGGGTCGACATCGAGGGCGAGAAGCTTCAGGAGCCCGACGTGATCATGGACGACTTTCTGCACGCCCTCGAGACCACCCGCCCTACCGTCTCGCCCGAGGACCTTGAGATGTACGAGAAGTTTACCGCTGACTTTGGCCAGGAAGGGTAGCGCGAGCAGCATGAGTAGCGCGAGCAAAGCGTACACAATGAACAGGGCAACCGCTGAGTGGGGCGATGGTGTAGCATGATGAGGGACGAGAGGTTGTGTGTCATACAACACAGCCGAGTGATCAACTATTTTTAGAAAGGGATGCAAGCAGCAGCACAGCATCCCGCCCGACACGCCAGCCAGGCACACAATCGAGCCAGCTAGCCAGCTGACCATCCACCCATCCGTTACCCTTCCTTGGATCACCTAAACTTGCCTGACGCACCGGAGGTATCTGCCTCGTTGTCCCCACGGCCGACAACCTCGATCAGCCCTCGACCCGTCCTCGATCAGCTCTCGATCCCCTCGACTCCCTCTCCACCCCCCTCCCCCCCCCCCCCCCACCCTCCCGCACCCAACCCAGTCACCCCTCATCTCCCACCCCCCCACCCATACCCTCCGTTCCAATGCGAGCAGTGGTCCAGCGTGTGGTCAAGGCGGCAGTGACGGTGGATGGGGCGGTGGTCGGGTCCATCGGGCGTGGGCTGTGCGTCCTCCTCGGCGTGGGCGACGGCGACACCGAGGCCGATGCCGAGTGGATGGCCAACAAGCTGCTGCGGCTGCGGCTGTGGGACGCACCCGAGTCGAGCAAGCCGTGGGGCGCGTCGGTGGTAGACATGGACTACGAGCTGCTGCTTGTCTCGCAATTCACCCTCTTCGCCTCGGTCCGCAAGGGCAACAAGCCCGACTTTCACGCCGCCATGGCCGCAGACTCCTCGCGCGCCCTCTACGCCTCGGTCGTCGACCGCATCAAGGCCAAGTACGCGCCGGACAAGGTCGCTGAGGGCGTCTTCCAGGCCATGATGACCGTCGACATCGCCAACGACGGGCCGGTCACCATCCCCATCGACTCGCGCAAGTTTGAGTACCTCGAGCAGTCGTCCGCAGACATCGCCCGCGCCGCCAAGGCCGATCGCGCCGCGCAGCGTGCCGCCAAGGCTGCCGCCAAGGCTGCCGCCAAGGCTGCCGCCAAGGCAGCTGCCCAAGCAGCTGCCCAGCCTGCGGCTGCAGATGCTGCCGATGGTGCGGATGCTTCCCGGCCTGCGGCTGCAGATGCCGCAAACGCGGCGACGACCCCTGCGGCGGCCAGCACATCGACGAGCACATCGACAAGCACATCGACTGCTGCACCAGCAACCGCATCAGCGCCATCCTCGTCATGAACCGGCTGTCCAACTCTGTCCAACTCTGTCCAACTCTGTCCAACTCTGTCCAACTCTGTCCAACTCTGTCAAAGCACCGCACCTCGCGTGCGGTCAAAGGCCCAAAATTGTGTTCCGCGTGGGTCTGCCCCCAATTCCGTCCGGCATTCTGTCTCAAAAAAGCCGTGACGGCACCTCTCGCCCTCCCGTCGCCCCCACCCCCCGCCACCTTCCTCCGGCATCACCACCACCTTTCGTCCCCCCCCCCCCCCCCTCCCCGCATACACACTCCCCCGGTCACCACCACTGGTCGCCGCCACTCCTTGCCTGCTCATGGCTGAAGAGACCTGGGCGCCGCGCCCCGGTGGGGCCCTGGTAGCCTTTGCCGGGGCGGGGTCACCAGCCCCGTCGCCTGGCGGCCGGCTGGCCGACGGCACCATGGGCGTGAGCATGGTGAGCATTGCCAGCAACCTGAGCAGCACAGGGCCCGCCAGCTTGCTGCATACACATCCGCACCCGCATGTGCTCCCCTCGCACCCTGCTCCCCGCTCCTCCCGGCCGCTCGCGCCGCTGCCGCCGCTGTCGCCTCCAGCCGCTGCCGCCGCCGCCGCTCCCGCCAGCGGTGGCAGCGGGCTCTTCCCGCCCACCGTCGGCTGCGCCTAGCCCGCTGACGCCGCTGACGCCG